TCTATTCGCTTTGCTGTGTCATGTTTCTTTAGGAATAAATTTCAGTTACGTGAGGAAGTCAACCGACGGCAGTCGCTGAAAAGAAGTTTACCAAGGAGAACTGGTCATTTATTCACTCAGCCGTTTTCCTCAGCAATAGTTGATCAAGGTTTCTACGTTTCTATGTAATTACATTAACATACTCGTCACAAATACCTACGACTGAAGACATAATATCAAGTTCTTGTTCGCTACCTAACTTAGTCTTTGACCCTTTTGGGGGGAGAGGGGGTCATTTTGGGGACCGCTGTGCTGCTTTGAGTACACTAGTATTCAGATGGTTTTATAAACGAACTTGAGCTATTTGAGTAGGCTTTTAGTAGTCATTCAATGTCTTGAGAAACGATGATAACATTACTATACTTGGTTTCAAAAGAAGCCTTCTGAGTGCGCTGTAGCAGAGAAAAGAAAATTGCGTTTCATCTTTTGCGTGCATAGTATGCTTGGTTCTCATCCATGTCTTCTTTTCACCAAGCTTTCACCAGTTAATCGATAGCCTAATAAGTAGCGATTCTAACACTAGGATTGTTTTTTTTTTTTTGGAAGGCCTTCAAAGTGTGCTGTAGCGACAGAAGGAAGATTACATTCTGCTCACAGAGTTGTTATCGTGTGGCATGAAATTCATAGCGAGTTCATTGTGGATTTGAAACAAAAATGAATAGGTAATACCTATGAAACTTTATAAAAAACGTTTACCACAATTCTGTAGAGGCCTGAACTCCTATAATACACAAATAATCGAAAAACTGTTAAGAGTTCACGATGAACTGACATCGCTCGCAGTGTGCAGTATGATTTTCGACATACTTTTTACTGCTCTCCATTTTTTTTTTCACATGCAAGAGTTATATATGAGACAAAGCATGGGATGGCCTCTTAGAAAATGTGGACCAATAAAGTGATAAAGGAAATTTGCGAACTTTGTTGAAACGGAGAAAGAACCCTTCTAAATAATGAAAATCGCACGCCTTTTGCGAACCATTCTGCAATTCGCCATCTCAACTGCGGTCCCCGAAAGGTTGAGACAGTTGCGGCCGACCGTGAATAAGATGATTTTTTGAATTCTGGAGCTCGCAAGACCTTTTTTCTTCCCTCTTTTTCTCTCGTCAAAGTTGATATTTTTAGATATAATATGGTTTAACAATTGAGTTGTTATGTGTTGATTTTCACTCACACAATGCGAAAATAACGGTATTTTCCGAATTTGAACTAACATTACTAAACCCAAAGTAAATTTCTTGATGGAAATGGTGATTACCAGAAATCAAAGATATTCTTCGTAACATGCGAGTTTTGGCTTACAGAAATCGTGCTTTCGTTGCTTTTATTTTGTCGTGGTTCATATCTCGAGAATGAAAGCAATCAAACAAGTTTTTTTTTTGAGTTTCAATGATCAAGAAATTCAATGTTTGACAACTCTCAGAATGTTGCACTTTCAACGAACCAACCTTACTTTTAAACAGATTGAAGTTCTCCTACATAAGCCAATCACATTTCCAACTAGTTTTAACAGATTACTATTTGTAAAGGTTTTATTAGTACTTTGCGTGGACTTAATCTCGCATCGTATTTGTTAATGAGCGAAATTTCTTTCCCCAAACCGAGTCACAGAGTGTCGTGGTGACATTTAAAGGTGCTAGGTTTGCATTAATTTATTGGAAATCAAATCTTGTATCTCTTCCTCAACATTCGATTTCAAAATGATTCTAAACTGGAATAATGTCTTGAAAAATTGTACGCTCCTTTAGTTCTAAAGATTTATGACTTGAATGAAAATCTGTCAAGTGTCATTTATCTGATATGCTCTAGTTGTCCAAAAAGTAACACAGATTGTCGTCTCTGCCTCTAATAAAGATTTTTCTCACAACTAAATTTAGTCCATAATTTGCTTTTCTATAGAGGCTGCTGCTGAAATTATGTCAGCGCTACCTCCTCGTCTTCAGTTAGAAACACCGAAGCTATTATTCCGACTGAGCATTGATGGCGCAAGTTTTACTCATCTTTGGAGCAAGTAGGTATTTTAGCATTAATACAACATTAAACATGATAAATCTATTTGTTGAAGCTCGGTGTTTCTAGGATAGACTGTGCAGAGCAGTCACTATTACTGATAAGAACGACGAGGGGTGAAAAATTCGGCGCATATTGTAGTTCTTCATGGGCAGAAAGAAATGATCGTCGTGAACGTTCCAAGTCGAAGTTAGTATCTGCGGTAAATTCATATACGCAATATTGTCCTAGTGTTACACTGATTTCATTAAGGTATTTTGGCACGGGAGAATCCTTCATTTGGGTACTCGATAGAGAACTTGGACTTCCAATAATCTATGGATGGGTAGGAAATAACAATGAGAATGCCGACGCTTCTCCACAAATGTTTATGGCAGCTGGTGACAAGCTACTGGTGGTACGAGATCTCTTCCATGCTTTCTTACCTGAACATGTATTAATTTCTTAGTTCCGTTACAACAATTTTGTAAATTCATGCACAACTAAAATGTATACTCTACTGTTTGCCATAGTTTTTTGGCTTGACTATGTGTTCAGTAGAGCTTTTCAGATAGAAATGGATTCTTGACACTGAATGAAAAGACACATTGTTGTAGGCAAAATTTGGATAACTTTTCATGTGAATGGTGATAGAGTTTTACAGATTGGTTCCGGTGATGGAGATGCTATACGTATCTCTGAAGAATTAACGCATGGCATGTCGTCAGCCTGTCGAACTTTGGAAGTCCTGCTCTCGTCGCGAGTCGCAGTTTTGACATCCACGAACTCGAGGTGTACGACGTCCTTACTGGCTCATAATTTCGATTATCTTCTCATTGGCATAACTTCCCGCTCTTCGTCATCTTCTCTCAACTTGTTGTGGCATACTTGTTCACTGATGAAATCTTATGAGCTAATGTACTGTTTTATGTAAGCAGAGCGAATAATAATAATAATAATAATAGTAATAATAATAACTGTTCCATTTGTCTTTGACCTGCTGAACATCACCTTTCGCTTTTGCTCCGTTATTGCTGACTAATCGACATATTCGGCTCTCTATTGTGATGCCACATCTGCCCTCGTATATGTAACATTAGCTTCGCATTGTTTTAATCCTTAGGAGCTGTATTTCACGGGTTTTGTATTGCAGTGGTTCAGTACTATTCGATGACGTCATAATGGCAATATTTCTCGTATTTCGTTTTTTCTGATTTTAATTTTAATCTATTTTCGTTGCAGTTGTAGCCTAAACTGGGAGGAAAAGGCTATGAGTTTAGCATTTGAATATGTGGCTGAGAATGTTGTTTTCATGTCGTTCAAGTAGCTTTATTTTAAGATGAAACATCGTAGACAAATAAAAGACGAAGTACGTTTCTACGTCCACCCTGTCTGTACGTCTCAAAACTTGTAGCATAAAATCTACTGTCTACTTGAACATGAGAATCATGGCATTCACTGTTTTGACGAAAACCTACTGCGTTGAGTTTGGGTGAAGGGATCTAGGTAAACGTCACGATTACTAGTAATCGTAATTGTTAGTCTCAGATATTTTCATGTCACAGAAGTGTAGAAACGTATTTTTCATTCCCTAGAAAACTAGAAATGATTCTATATTGATAGCTTGGAGTCTGAACGATTGTAGATGAATACAGAAAAGAACACGGCTCCAATTATGAACGATACTGGATCGTTGCATAACATTTGGCTTTAGGGCAATAAATACCAAATTTATTAATCAGAAATAATTGAAGCTGCATGAGTTTAGATTCGTTCAACTGCACATTATCTTGCAAAGATTTTGGTATACAACTTGCCTATACTCGATTTAAGATGGTGTTGTTTTGAGAACAAATTCGCATGCTACTCATGTAGAATAGATGGAGCTTAGGCGATGATACGGTTGAAGAAATGGCGGCTAGAAAGTGGTTCGCGGACTTGAAAGCTGGAAAGAACAGTCTAGAGGATCACTCGTGCTCGGGCCGTCTACAGGAGGCCTTGTGCGCCGCTTCATTAGCATTTTCCCCTATGAGCCATTCGTTCATGAGTATCAAGCGAAATTATTCCCACGACAGCTTCATCTGAAAGCAAGTATAGGCAAGTTTTATACCACAATATTCACAACAAAATGCGCCCTTGAACGATACCAAGATCATGCAATTTTCAGTACTTCTGTTAATTAACTTGGCGTTTATTGCTCCATTGCCAAAGGGATATAACGACCTATTGATATGAGATAGGGTCAGCTTGTGGCGTATCACGAAACAAGGTGCTAAGAGGGTAGAAGTTCGATTCTCTGCCCCAACACTCTCTTGTAATCAATGAACGAACGCCTTAAGGATCGTCTTAGCTCACCTACCTCCAAGGCTGCAAGAAGTATGGTCTTGAGCAAAATTAAACGCATCTAAGGAAAAAGACGGAATCCTTGATGATGTAGATTGATATGCACTACGTCATCGAGTATACTATGACATCATACCACCACTCAAGGCGGTTGAATAAAAAGAATTCTTATGCTTTTTCCGGTTTTCGCATTGTCATGATGTTTCATGTACACCTAAGAGAATTGAGTGGTAGGCAAAAATCCGACCTCAGACGGGACTAGAACCCGCGTTTGACCCCCTACCGGGGCGCGTGCCACCATTACACCACAAAAGCCACACCAGTCATTCTTCAATATCTCACTATCATAGCTATCACTCACCAACCATTAACAGGGATTGGTCAGGTGAGTAATATGGCTCTATAGATCCAATTAAGCTGACAGCCACTGAACTTGTAAATCCAAGAGTTCTTACATTTATCTCGCTTTTTCGCAGTGTCATGACATTCCATGTACACCCAAGAGAATTGAGTAATAGGCAAAAATCCGACCTGGACGGGACTAGAACCCGCGTTTACGGGGACACATGCTACTACTACATATGGCCATGTTATACAGCTCTTGAAGAATGAGTGGTGGTTGAACGGTGGCCTCTGTAGTGTAGTGGTAGTACGCGCCCCCGCTATCGCTGAGACGCGGGTTCAATTCCCGGCTGAGATAGAATTTTTGCCTACCACCCGCATAGGTGCACAAAAAAGATACTGTTTGAAGACAAAATCCTCGAGCCTCAGTCGGAGCGACACGCGAAATATTTTCGAAGACCTTTGCGGAGGATGAATACGAAGAAACGATTTAAACCCAAGAAGTACTACGGCCATCCGTACAGTGGATTATGATAACGGGTAGCGTAAAATTATTACATGTCTATACATATGTAGGGGCCATGGCCGAGTGGTTATGATGCTCGTCGCGGCGCGCGTGGAGCCGAGCTTCATCCCCCAACACCCTCCGGCAGTCAACAAGAACGCCCTATGGAACGCCACAGCAAGGCTATCCTCGAGACTGCAAGGAGACATGCTCGGTCAGTCTTCTAGATCATTTAAGAAGAAGACGAGGAACGAATCGAATGATAGAAGTACTTGGGTCCACGGAACAAAAAATGTGATAACGCGTCGTGTAAATAAATAAAAATAATCCGAATATACATATCCAAGAGCGCATGTAACGCACTGGTTAGAGGTACTCGCGTCGCACACGAGGTCGATGGTTCGATCCCGCGCTCATGGCGCACCAAGCCCTCCATGCGGTCGGTGAAGAGGCCACATATGCAGTCACCTTTGCAATGCTACGAATGGAATCGAATGCATGACCACACCCCCCCCCCCCTACACCGGAAGCGACCAACGTCAGACGCTTTGTCCCCTTTTTTTATCCCTTAGCTCACCCCGGCCCAGATAATTGACCCTGACGGCGATTTCACACGACGCTAAATCCTAGGTGGATATCGGAGTTTTTTGGGAGGGTCGTCGGGAACAATTCCAGTGTTATTCGAATCGACATTTTCACATGCCTTGTTTTATTTCATTTTGATGTTAGCCTTTCTTATTGTGGTGAATTTCTTCTCAAGTAGGAAATAAAGAGGGTTTATGGCCGAGTGACCATGATGCTGGGCGCGGCTCAACGCGAAATTGATCTCATGACCTCCCAACGCTCTCCGGCAATCAATAGCGAAGGCCCTACGGAACGCCCCCAGTCTGGTTATCCTCAGGATTGTAATGAGACGTGCTCGACCAGTGTTCTAATGACGTCCGTGAAGAAGATGGACTGCAAGCAGGCGAGAGACGAATCGAATGCAGGAACTGTTTGGATGCGCACAGTCGAAAAATAATTGTAATGCTGTTTAAATAAAGTGGTAACGCATTGTGAGAACATATTCCAAGCCTTGCCTCGTCAGTAAAGCGGTGTCGTTCGGTCCAGTCAGTTCCTCGGGAATAGAACCTCCTATATAGAAAAGTCGATGCCGAACTATTTATACTCGACGTACGGTGAGAGGATCACCGTGGCGTTTTTTCAGAGTGGTCGATTGTCGATTGTTATTTGCTTGGCTTACAGCTATTACGCCAGTATATACAATGTACCCTTTCTTTGACACTTTATCAGTCCGTCTTCACCGTTTCTTTTTTCACTGTGCGGATCTCAGTACTTCTAGCATTCAATCGTTTTTCATCTTCTTGCGTCGTAGAATACTGGTTGAGCGAGTCTCTTAGCAATCTCGAGGATAGCCTGGCTGTGGCGTTCCACATGGCGTTCTTTATTGATCGCCGAAAGAGTGCTGGAGCACGGGGCTTATACCGCGCACGCTGCGGCAAGCATCACAACCACTCGGCCACGGCGCAGTAATTAACTATTTAGAGATCGCGCTCAAAATTAATATGTCTTGACAGCATATTTTAAGCTTTTCATGAGGTCTTTTATGGCACGCACTTATAATTTGGCAATAAAAAGTGATAAAAGTAGGAAATGGATCTCAGTACCGGAATGGCGATAGTATCGATGTTTCAGAGAGTGAGGGATGAGCGGCTATTCTTTCGTCCAGAAATATCTCTACGATCTGCTTCATTTTGTTTTCCCGCGAAACTGTTTTGAAGAACTGATTGTTAACTTTAACGTCTTTCATCGTAAGTTTTCTTAAGAGCCTTATTCTGCTTCAAATCGTCTTAGTCTTTACTTATGTGAGATCGTAGTTTAGCAACGTGTCCAAAGATCGTGTTAAGTCGTGTGCTGGGAGTTGGCATCACGTCCGCTTCAATGATTCTATTCGTACCTCAGATTCTCAAAATATTCAATGCAAAAAACGCTAAGGTAAGCTAAGAAAACGTTCCTAGCGCAGGTAATTCCAAAAATTATTCATTGAAATATGTGGTTCTTTTTTGTTGTCTAGCGGCAAGTGGCGAAACGATCCCTTTTGCTGGGAAAGAACTCTTAATCGGAATGTCAATAACCATTCGAAAGCACAAACCTTTGGCTACTGCGCTACATGGCCGATTTTGAAAAAGCTTTTCTTATAACGCTATAGTAAAAAGGAAATATATGCGTTTCACACACGCACAATTCTCGTAGGACAGAGCTCTTTCCATAACTTATAAGTAACCATACGATAGTCCCAGTTTCGCTGATTCCAACGCTGTGCTTATCTCTTTGAAATATCGTTTCATTGTAGTGTAGCAGGGAAAATAACTTTAAGTTTCACATATGCGGGCGTTGTTTTTCGGCTGGATGTGGGCTGGGCATTGGCAGGGGGGATGAGGTGATACTGGCCGTCGATTCCATGCAAAGATCGATTAGTTGCGTTGACGCGTTACACATGCGGAGTGTAATTTTTGTTATTTAATTTCAGATTTTTCCCCGCTTTGAAGGAGACTCCCAGCAAAACGTATGACTCTGATACTACAAAATTTCCTCTACACATACATATGCTTTTCGTGCTTCCAGCGAAGTAACACTCAAAATGCGCGGTGATTGTAAAACCTAATCGTATTTTGAATACTACAACCGTTGCAAAAAGGTCTTTTCAAAAAAGGAGCACGTAGCGCAGTAGCCAGAGATTCAAACTTTCAATGATTTGCTAACATTTATACGAAAATCTCTTCCCAAGCGGAGAGATTGGTTCTTGATTTGTCTTCCAGGTAACAGCAAAGAAACCTGATTTATTTATCCCAATCCGTTTCTTAACCTTTGGGATAAGGCCTTTTCCGTTTTTCCTAAGACTTCAAGGAGTCATTCGATAGCTCAAATCTTGGCGATTTCAATACTGTATCTGTTTTCTAAAATGGCCCTCTCAGTGCGCTGTAACAAGGAGAATAAAATAGAGTTCCAACCTTGACGTGAATTATCGCGCGTCCCTCAATGTACGTAGCCTCGAAAGGCGCGATTTTCATTCACTTGAAGATTTTTTCCACTTGAAGATTTTTTCCATTTTTTCTTAGTAATTTTTAGATTTTCTGTATTAGAGTTCTAAAAGTAACTCTGTTCTGTCGTTTCATTGGGTTAGATTTTTTTGTCATACAAATCCGTTGTGAAGTGTAAACCTAATGCCAAACCAAAGATTGCAAAACTTAACCTTGTTTTCACTCCTCCAGCGATCTATGGAGATCTTCTCAGAACCACACATAGCTTTAGAATCACCAAAATTTATGTTATCAACAGGTACTAAAATTCTCTTTGAAGACCGTCTGTAGGCCCTAACCGAGTAAAAAATGCGCGAAGATTGTGGAACGTGATCTTATTTTCGCTGCTCCAGCGCCTTAACAGGGCCTTTCCAGAAGCCACTCACAGTACCGATTTTTCCAAGATTTAGACTGTCGAGTAACTTTTGAAGGCTTGACAAAAGCGGTAAAGATCTTATTCCTTGAGGGTTGAAAAATAGTTTAAATAATGGAGTTCTACCAGCGCAACAATCTCTGCTGTCGTTTTTTTTCAGGGCATTTCGATCATTTCACAACTTCTCGCTTTTGTCGCAGCAGTTGGTACTGCTTCGTATAGTTTCAATCAGGGCTTTGTCTTCAGGTAAAATCATATGTATTATTTTTCTTTCAGTGTTTTCACCAGAATAAATCCTTCTAAATCTTTTTCAGTCAATATGGCGACTCATTCTTCATTGCTATTCAGCTGATGATCATCGTAATGCAAATATTGTACTACTCGGACTCGAGTGCCTATGCGTTCGCGTTTTTTCGCTTTCTGGTTAGTCTTCTCTTTCACGGTTCTCTGTCCCATTCTGTAGGACGTGTTTTTCAAGTCAATTATTCACAGATTTGTTTTATTAGGTCGTTCCATAAGTTTTGGCACTAAAGCAATAAATACCAGATTAACTATCTAGAACTAATTAAAACTGCATGATTTTGGCGTCGTCGAATTGCGCATTTTCTTGCGAACATCTTGGTGTACAACTTGCCTATACTTGCTCCAAGGTGGAACTGTCTTGGGAACGAATTCGCTTGCTAATCATGCACAATTGGCGCGTGGGTTAAAATGCTACTGAAGCGGCGCCCAGGATTAATGGGGCTTCTTTATGACAGCTCAAGCGCAATCGATCCTCCAGACTTTCTCCGAAGCTTTAGGTTCCTTCACGAACCTTTTCTTAGCTGTCTTTCTGCACCCACATTATAAAGCTACATTGATCTTGCGTGCCGTTCCACTACCATTTTCGCCCTACGCACCATTTGCGTATGAGTAGCAAGCAAGTTCGTTCCAAGATAGCTACCTCATAAAGCAACTAGAGCAAGTCGTACATCAAAATGTTCGCAGAAAAATGCACAGTTGAGCGATGCAGAAATCGTGCAGTTTTAATTACTTCTGGTTTGTAGATTTGGTGTTTATTGCTTTAGCGCCAAAACTTATGGAGCCACCTAATACTGAAATTGTTCTGAGCGCTTGTGGCGCAGTGGTTAGAGGTGCTCTGTGAGACAAACGCGCTTAATCAATCGATGGCTCGATGCCGTGCTCGAGGCTCACCCTCGACGAATTGGTACCAGACTTGTCTGCGAGGACAGAAATACTGAGCCGATCCACCTGTAGTCATTGTAAAGGCCAATTTGCATTCACTCACCTGAGACATGCTAAGGATGAAGTCGGGTGTGCATGGCGCTTGCCTCAGGAATCATCGGTCAACGCTTAGAGCTGAATCTCTTTTTGATATAGTTTACCATAATTTCAAGCCT